ATGTTTTTAAGGCAAGGCTAGATAAATTTTTGAACAGTAAAGGAATTAAGGGTTATGGTGAGTGGGCGGGTAAGTGGAGCTGAGTCTCAAAAAGATCAGCCATGATCTTATTAAATGGCGGGTAGGCTCGAGGAGCCAGATGGCTTACTCCTGCTCCTAGTTCTTATGTTCTTATGTTCTTTCCGTAAGGGATATTAGTGAACCAGATAGGTTTTTCTGACAATCAGCAATTTATTTAATTTTTTTTATTGGATTCAAATTTCACCGTTTGCTGTGCTGAGATTTGAACATGAGTCCCCAGAACATTGTCTGGATTTCAGGATTAACCTTCCAGCAATAATACTGTTAGGCCATTGCCTCCCCAATTCTGCTCCTATATCTTAAGTGACCATTAAGGAGGTATCAGGAAAGAAAATCGGTATTAATACAGCAGTGGTTATATTAGAGAGAACAGATTTCAGTCTGGGACCTGACTAGTCTAATAGTAATATCAGCTGGATAAGGCTACTTAGAGATGCCTTCGTTGTGATGTAAAAAATTAATCCTATTTATTTAATGTCCGATCAACTGTGGAACATGCTAAAAAAAGACTGTCCTGAAAACATTATCTGAACTCCTTATCTAGGAAGGTTTGCCATCTTACTTTTCTGGTCAATTTGTAGATTAAAATCTAGTATTATTGCTACACCTTTCTGACAGCTCTCATTATTTCTCCATTGTGATTCACTCCACCGTACGGTTACTGTTAGGAGACTTGTACAGTACTCCCACAGGAGACTTTTTAAAAATCATTTCTCAATTCTACCCAAACTATTTCCACATCTTTCTTTCCTGAAATTAGGTCATTGCTGACTATTGTGCTAATGCCATTGTTAACTGACAGAGCCACTCCTTCATTGTTTCATAGTTTATTGTTCTATCTAAATGTCTTGTACCCTTCAAGGCCCCAATGCTTGCAATCTCGTTATTATTCCAGCTAATGTTGCAATTGGACATATCAGATCCCAGACTAAAATCTCATTTGATAAATCATATGTAGTTTTTCTGTTATTTAACAAGGTTGTCTTTTACTGAAATGCAAGCAGACAGAGCTGTAGATTTGGTTTTAATAACAAGTTTATTACACAAAAGAAAAGATAAAGTAGAATAAACCAAATTGTTTGCATATGACATAATTTTAAAGATTTTGAAATTCCCATAAAAATATAATCCTAACTCAACATAAATCATGCTACAGTATTCACACACTAGAGTGAGTTTGCTTCTTTGTTGCATCTATAGGTTTAATTTAACTGATTCTTTCAATTCCCAGACTTGAGTTTTGTAGCATCTTCCTTTGTTCGTTACACAACTGAGCTTAAACTTTCTTAGCCTAGAATAATTCTGTCAGGGTTCTAACCAAACAATTCTGGTCTGGAACTTCAACTAAAATACTTATGCTGTGTTAATCTATTTCCTAATTTTTTTGATCTCACTCCTTTCTCTAGAAGAAACTGTTTGTTTCATCCAAGTTCAACCAAGACTTCCATGAACTAAAAACAAAAACTTTCCAAGGTATAGATTTTTCTCTGAAGAATAAGAAAAGTCCAAATGCTTCTAGACTGAAAACAAGCTAATGCTCCCCTGTGTTTACTCTGGCTGCTTGTTAAATACTTCCAATGCATTCAAATTCTCATTATCAATCCAAGGACATAGTCATTCATACTGATTTCAAAATAATCATGGCTGCAGAAATACTGACAAGTTAATTATACACAGACCAAATCCCTAATGCCACCAGTTCAAAATCCAATCCCTGAAATAAATGGTATTAAAATATATATGAATTAAATACCTTGCATCACATTCTGTAGCGACACCTTTGTAATGGCTATCAGTTGTACTTAATGATTTCTATTTTTACTCTTAGTTCATTTTATTTTTCTAAAACATATGCATTCAGATACAGAGCCTTTAGTTTTATTTTTATTGTCTTTTTGTACATTCTAGACTAATCTATTATTCAGCTTGTAGGTTCATGGTCTCTTTCCCTTTCTTGTCTATTTAGCATTTCTCGTATTAATACCTTTCTCTTTGGCCCTTACAAAAGCAGGGAGGTTATGCTGAACATGTATAAGACACAAGTTAGACATCAGCTGGAGTATTATCTGCAGTCACACTTCTGTAAATTTGGAAACCAATAAATTTTATGTACTCCAAACTGAGTCATCTGGCTCCTTTCTCTCTCTCTTTCCCTCTCTCTAAGTCTTGCAGATCTAGCCGAGACACATGTGATCTTTGCAAATGCAACATTTGCTACATTAGCCATTGTCCTTTGCTTTGAGAAGTGATCTTTTCAATTTGCCTATATATATAAAACATACATCTATCTAACGATATTAACACTACTATTTCAAATAACATTTCATCATAGCAAACGCTCAGTTTGTACAGTTAGTATACACGGCTGGGTAAATCAATAGACACAGTCCGAACATTGTTTTCCCTTCTAAATGGATTTGTGTGCTATTGTAGGTGCTTCGTATGCCTAGTTTAGAGCTTACATGATATGAAGAGGCAGCAGGCATTTGACTGAATAGTCTGTTTCTATCCAATGTGCATTTTGTATGAAAGCAATTTTTCATTCTGAGGGAATAGATCATGCGCAGCGATAGTTCAAAGCATCTGAATCCCAAGCAATACAGGACTGGGTTGAGTGTAGAAAAATCAATGGAATTATCCAACATCCATTTACTCAGTTTGTTTTGTTTTTTGTTTGAACATGTCTGTTGGATGCAGATAAGTGATTGGCCACTAATCCTCCAACATGTTTCGGCAAGAGCATGGAGTCTATTTCTTTACACTTCTGCTCCTTCGTCACCAAGCTAATATTGCATATGAATGTGCATTATGCAGTTTAAAAAAATGCATTTTCTTGTTGCTTAGATTTACTTCTACGATGTGTTCCTATATTTAATGTTTATCCTCAGCATATTTTTCACCTACAAAGTGCAGGTTTAATATTGCAGGACTACAATATTGTTGGCAATTCCCTTCACTTAATAGAGGAAGGCCATGCAGAAGTGTCTTTCATTTGTTTTTCTTGTGATGTTTTCAGGTAATAACAAATCTGCACAATATATTTCATGGTAGTCAAGAAACACCTGGATGAATACATTAACAGGAAGGGAACAGAGGGATACAGATCTTGTAAGTGGAGACAGATTTAGTATGGAAGGGAAAATGTGTCAGTGCAGGCCTGGAGAGCCGAAGGGCTTGTTACTGTACTGTGTTATTATTTTGTTCTTTGTATAGTGGCGCTGCTGTGTTCTGAGTAGGTGAATAGTTAAATTTGGAGCAGGACCTGATTTCACTCGGTCCTTGTTCATTTCACAGGTAGTGACAAAGAAGTAGAAATATAAATTAAAAAGACTTAGCATTTTCAATCTGTGTTTGGCTCTAGGAACAACCTTGTGTCTCTGTTTTCCATCATTGCTAAGTGTATGCAGGCTGATCAAATGTGAAAAGGCTTGAGTCGTTCTACTGTAGTCAGTCAAAACGCTTACTAAAAGCACAGATGATATATATGATGCGTAGCCAGTCCCTTTGAGTTCCACTGTTCTTTCCTCGAGATGTGTGTCAGCTTTGCACTATGGAAGGTGACCTGTAAAACTGAATAGGGTGAGGGGTACGTCAACAAGACATACAAAATTTCTACCTTGCCCCACATCTGCACAGTTGGCCTTCTTGGAAACTTTACTCCCAGAGTATATCTAATTGGCCATCATCATGGTTAAATTTTGTCTGTTCCCTTTTGGATGTAATTACGCAGCACTTCAGGGAATGAAGTGTCCGTTTCTTCACTGTTATCCACATGGGAAGTTATTAAAGTTACTATTAAAAAATGTCATTTTTGGCTATTGCTAATAGCAGCTGGATAAACCAATCAATTTACACAATCTGGGATTTGATTTTCTGCTGAGGGTCAAAGCAAATGTGAACATGGTATGAAAATTTTATCTCTCAAGGGAAAATAACCTCTCCACGTTTACCCTGTCAAACTCCCTAAGAATCCTAGATGTTTAAATAAGATTGCATCTCATTCTTATAAGCTAGAATGAGTACAAGACTAACCTACTTAATGTCTCTTGATAAGAAAATCCCTGCATACCTTCTGGACTGCCTCCAATGTCATTATATATTTTCCTTGTATAAGGGAATCAACACTATTCCCAGTATTCTTGATTTGATGTGATTTACTGTATTGTAGTCATATGTACCTAGGATAGTGAAAAGCTTTGTTTTCCGAGCAGTACAGGCAGAAAATAGCGAACAAGGACGTACAGATCATAGGATCCTTAGACAGAGCGAGGCATATAAGGTTATGGCTAAAGAGGACTTGCACAAAGCAAGATCAACATTAGCAAGATCAGCATTTTTTGATGACCTACCTGTGATTTGTGTCTTGTATAGTTATAGCAAGATGTCCTTATTTCTATACCCCAGTCCCTTTGAAATACACGCCAGCGTTCCATTTGCCTTCTCTACTACCTGCTGAACTCTGATGCCTAGCACTTAAGATGGAGATGAAGCGGAATTGTTTTCTCACAGAGGGTCTATGATTTTGCTTTCTCTTCCTTCTGCAGACTATTTCTAAGTGTAATGGATGAGTTGACAATTGTCAATACCTACTCTGTTACATTTTCCATTTGAGAAGGACATTCAAATTCTCGCATCTCACAATATGGAGTTAGCATGTCAGATGTTTTGGAATATGGTAAAATGAGCAATTGACATATCTTGAAAGTCCTAAATTTTAAAGGAGAATATTCTAGTGAATGTAGTGTTATTTCCTCACTCTCTTCATTTTGTAATTCATGTGTCCAAATGCAAAATCTTCAGATCAATGCATAACTATAAAACTATATCAGTCAGTATGAAATTCTAATTGCTGAAATGGCTAGGCATTGTTTAGTGACCATTTAGTGAATAACTGATGCTGTTTCCTGTTGTGTTTCAAGGTTCTCAACTCTGATCTAGAGAAAAGAGAGAAGCAGCAACTCAGGATGTTGAACCAGCTCCAGGAAATCCAGAACTGTTATGATGACTGTGTGCAAGATCGTAAATCTGCAGATTTGGAGATTGTGGATCTAGCCCGCCAACTGAAGGAGTCTAGTGTGGAAGCTGACAGATGCAGGGCTCAGTTGAAAGAAGTTGAACACCTTCGACTGGAGAGTGAAAAGAAGAAAGATGAATTGAAGATAAAAGCTCAGGAGTCCATCAGACAGTGGAAAATCAAATGCAGGAAGTTGGAACGTGATTTGGAAAAGCAGAAGGAGAATATTAATCATTGGATGGAGCAGCACAACCAGGCATGTAAAGAGAAAGAAGCACTCCAGGGTCAGCATTCTGTGGCCTTGCATCAGATAGAGAGCCTCCGTAAGGAACTCAACGATGTCATACTCAAACGGGCGCAGCAGGAGGAAGATATGCGACGGAAGGATGTGGAGCTCAATGAGTTGAAGTCAGAGTTGTTGGACTTGGATGGAAAACTGCATGACTCTAAGGAGTGTTTCAGCAAATTAGAAGTTGACTTACATGAGCAGTGTGTGTTGCACGTTCGGACCAAAGAGGAGAAACAGCACCTGGAGAATGAGTTGATGGCCTTAAAGAGGCAGAATGAAAAGAGTCAGGAGAAGCTATTAGAAACGCAGCGAATGATCTCTGAGCTAAGTGCCATTCGATCTGAGCTCAGTGATAAACTAGCTCAGGAAGAGATATCCAGTAAAGAGATTAGAAAGAGCATCTCAGAAGCTCAGGCAAAACAGACGTTAGCCCAAGAGGAACTTGCTTCCCTGAACAGCCAATTGAAGTCAGAGAGGGATGCACACCAACAAGAACTTGCAGGCATCAGATTAGAGATGCAGACCTTAAGAAATAAACATGAAAAGAATATGCAGGAAGCACTCAAAAATTTCCAACAAGAGCGGGATAAATTAGAGAATAACCTAAGTGAGTTAAAGGTAAGGAAAGTTAATTAGACCAGAGAGCATTCTTTTTAAGGCATGATTTCAAGCATTAAATGTATCTCTCGTTTGGTTTTGCTTTTGAAAGAAAGAAGTGAATCTATTGTTTATGGTGTGTTCTCGGGCCAACCCAAAGCACTTCACAGCCCATCAAACATTTTTGAATGTTGGAGCAAAGTAAATTATTCAACTGAATCTGTTTTATCAAAGTGAAGGCTTTGTTTCTCTCAGACACTCAGTAACATCTTGATTAACAGCCAGTTGCGCCATAAAGGTATATGAAATATGATCACTGTTGTACGCAAACACAATGCAGAATTTGTACACTAAGGCTCAAACCAGAAATGAGAGAAATGACCAGATAAATTGTTTTATTGATATCCGTTGAGGGCTTGTATTGGTTAAGCCCGTGTGTGCTTTTCTATGCATATTGCCATGGGGTCTTTTACTTTACCTGAGACTGAAGACAGGGTTTCAATTTAGCATCTTTTGTGAAAAAGGTCACTTTCAATTGTGCAGCTCTCGGCCATTATGTTCCGCTTGTTCCAGAGTGAGTCAAAAAAATATACCATAGAGTGAGGGCTGATACTTTAAATTATAATTGCTAGCTAATGTCCAACCTCTGCTTGACTTGTCCAGAACTAGAGAATTATCAGTTCAGCCGTGATCACCTTGAATGCAGATTAGACTTGATGGGCTGTGTGGCCTACTTCAACTTTTATGTCATATGCTCTTAAGGTCTTAGGGGTTACAGTCTAAGGATACGGGGTAGGCCATTTAAGACTGAGATGAGGAGCAATTTCTTTGCCCAGAGATTGATGGGCCTGTGGAATTCACTGCCACAGAAAATGGTTGAGTCCAAAGCATTGAATGCTTTCAAGACGGAGTTAGATATAGTTCTTTGGGCTAAAGGGATCAAAGGGTATGGAGAGAAAGGGGACTGATTTGGATGATCAGCCATGATCATATTGAACGGCAGAGCAGAATCAAAGAATAGCCTAAGCCTGCTATTTTCTCTGTTTCTCTGACAATTGATTTAGATAGTTAAAATTGCAATGAGTAGCAGTATAATTTGCCAGGAATGCAGAGTGGATCAAAAGAAACCCACTTGTAAACTGCATCTGTTTAGCTTTGTATTTAGAATTATTCCTTTTGTACTGAAATATATTTTCCCCAGCACCACGCACCCACAGCTAGCTAAAAATGGGCTTTCAGAACCTAGTCCATGTTACTCGGAAACTTAATGGAGGTGTGTACATCTAAGAACTTGACTTAGAAGTAGTCAAGGGTTGCCATAGTGGTGCTTTCGAGACGTTAACACGAGTATATGCAAAACAAAAACTGTACCCCTGTGAGTAATTTGGACTGAAAGAGATTGATGATGTTGACAAAATGTTCTCTTAGGGTTATTGAAGGTAGTTTCTTCTCAGCTGCAAAACGCCTTATGGTTTCCTTACGGGAGAAAATGGAGGTGAGCAATATATTTTTGGTTGTCGACTTTTCACTGACATGGACTCAAACTGAAATGTTGGTATATTGAGGCTCAAACAGTAATGTCAAACTTCATCTGATTCAAAGAGTAACCTGTTTTCTATGGTATACTCGTAGAGTTTCTTCTGCTGCTTTGGGATTTATTAGTTGAGGCCTTCATTAACATTACCAAAGCAACGATTGAAAGCTCTAATTTATTTTTCTTGTGTGTATCCATTAGACTCTTGAACTGTTTAAATTACAGGACGTATACTGTTTCCCAAATTCTCTTAAATGACAGTGATCAGTTGATGCAGAGGTACTTACGTAAAGCAAGAAGGACTTGCATTCATATAGTGGCTTTCGTGAACGCACTACATCTGAAAGTTTTTTTACAGCCAGTTGAGTGCTTCTGATGTAGAGATAGTTTTGTAATGTTGAAAACACAACTCCAGTTCTGATATGTGGTGGACTGTGTTATTTACCTTTTCTCTTTTTAAAACTGTTATGCTTTTGTAAAAAGCACAGTATAGTATGTACATTTTTAACGTCACTTTATGACACTTTATGACTTTATGCTAATCGTAAACTTTGGGTGCAGTCAGTATTTTTCGAAAATTAGATTACTGAGGCTGATTTGTTATGCGCCTTAGGCTGAGCTGGCAAATGACAAGAGTTTGGCAAAAGCACAACGACGCCAGGTGGAAAAGGTCAAAACAGAATGTAACAAACTGACGGAAGAGCTACTTCAGGGTGAGGCGGAAAATACCAAGCTCAGGAGGAAGTACCATTTGCTGAAGCAAGAACTGGAAGAAAAGGTAAGAGGTTCCCTGGGTGGGTAAACTGTGGCTGGAATGTTATCAGAATTTGCATCGTGTGAAATAACTTTGGATGGCAAGGCCATCAGTATTACCTGTTTCTAATTGCCCTTCATAAGGTGGTGGAGAGCTGTCTTATAGAGTCATAGAGTCATGCAGAATGAAAACAGACCCTTCTGTTCAACTTGTCTAAGCCGACTGTATACCCAGACTAAACTAGTCCCACCTGCCTGTGTTTGGCCCATAACCCTCCAAACCTTTCCTGTTCATGTACTTATCTAAATATCTTCTAAATGTTATAATTGTACCTGCATCCACCACTTCCTCTGGCAGTTCATTCCACACACTATCCACTCTCTGTGTGTCAAAGGTTGCCCCATATGTCCTTTTAAATCTCTCCCCTCCAACATTAAAAATATGCCCCCTAGTTTTGAACTGTCCCCACCTTAGGGAAAATACATTTGCTATTCACCTTATCTATGCCTCTCATGATTTTATAAACCTCAGTACAGTCACTCCTTAACCTCCTAAGCTCCAGTCAAGGAAGTCCCAGCCTATCTTTATAACTCAAACGCTGCATTCCCAGCAACATCTAGAAAATCTTTTCTGAACCTTCTCCAGTTTTATAATATCCTTCCTATAGCAGGGCAACCAGACCTACACACAGTAGTCCAGAAGAAGCCTTACCAACATCCTGTACAACCTCAAAATGACATCCCAACTGCTATACTCAAAGGTCTGAGCAACGAAGGCAAGCATGCTAAACGCCATGCTAAACAACCATGTCTATCTGTGACACAAATTTCAAAGAATTATGTGCCTTCTTGAACTGTTGCAGGCCATATGCTGTGTTTATCCGTACTGTTGTTGGGAAGAGATTTCCAGAATTTTGACTATGCAATAGTGAAGGAATGGTGATATAGTTCCAAGTCAGGATGACGTATGGTTTGGAGGGGCACTTGCATCTGTTGCCCTGTCCTTCCAGGTGGTAGACATCATGGCCTTGAAAGTGCTATTAAAGAGACTTGGTGTGTTGTTGCAGTGCATCAGTGATAAAGCGTGTTAAATTTGAAGGTGCTTGCTGGTGTGCCAGTCAAGCAGGCTGTTTTGTCCTGGGGATAATGTTGAACTTCTTGAGTTAGTACTGCACTTATCCAGGCAATGGAGACCATTCCATCACACTCCTGACTTATGACTTGTAGATGATGGACAGGCTTTGAAGAATCAGGAAGCTCCTCACTGCAGAAGTCCTAGCCGCTGACTTGTGCTTGTAAGGTCCACCCCAGTCCAACACCGGCATCTCCACATCACTTGTACTTATAAGCCACAATATTTTATATGGCTAGACCGGTTCAATTTCTGGTAATTGGTCGTTGCTGGTGCAGATTCACACAATTGGTCTCTCGTTTGGAGAAGCTGGATCTCTCTGTTTCTCTCCTACAGATTGGCTATGATCAAGGTACAACCCCTTTAAACCCCAGCTCCACCACCTTCCAAAATGTGATGCCATAAATTAGCTAGTGCTTTGTTTGGGTGTCTGTTGTATAGCGCCATAATTATCACTTGCAGTTCAGCCTGAAATAAACTACATCAGATATCACAATAAACATTACTGACCTGATTTCTGTTGGTCATGCAAGATTTGAAAAAGCAATAGCCATTCACATTTTGTCTTTCACATACCAAAGGGAAGTTAAGTTTGTTCAGCTGGAACACTTCAACATTATCAAGGATATTTACCAACTTGAAACTGTCAAGCTGCTAAAAACAAAATTGGATTATCTCTAGGAGCAAATTACTGCAGATGCTAGAATCTGAACTGAAAACAAAAAATGCTGGAGATCACAGCGGGTCAGGCAGCATGCATGGAGAGAGAGCAAGATAACGTTTCGAGTCTAGATGACTCTTCATCAGAGCTGAAGTGAAGTGTGAAGGGGGCAGCATTTATGCAACAGTGGGGAGGGGTGTGGGGTTGGAGTGCTGGGGAGAAAGGATGTTGATATTTCAGATTAAGTGATCGGAATGTGAGATTGGCAGAACAATGGTGTGTCTAACTGCCAGACTGGAAAGAACAGACCGTCCTACTGGTTGGGGGGAGTGGGGAGTGGAGAGAGGGTGGTAGTGAATGTAACAAGCCAAGCTAAAAGGGAAGGAATGGGTTCACAACTTGAAGGTGTTGAACTCCATATTGAGCCCAGAAGGTAGTAAACTGCCTAGTTTGAAGATGAGATGTTGCTCCTCCCATTGTGCTGTGATTTGCTGGAGCATTGCAGCATGCCGAGGGCACACAAGTGGGCACATGAGCATGATGCTGTGTTAAAGTGACTGGCTACGGGAAGGTCGGGCTCATGCTTGAGCAGGGACCGGTGGTGTTCTGCAAAGCGGACACCCAGTCTGCATTTGGTTTCTCCAATGTCGTGTAGGATTATCTCATTGTGAAAATTACATCTGGAATTTTGTACATTTTGCAGACTTTTCCAAAAAAAAAGTTGTGTATTTGAATACTGTGAACAAGCTGTTCTTTTGTATCAAAAAAGTTGCAGTTCAAGACTGAATACTAAATATGACCAAATATCCCTTTCTTGGTTGGTAAAAGAATGCTATTTTTACAATATGTAGCCTTCATTAAATAATGAGGGGTAGCAAGAGGCACAACAGAGTAAGTGATATAGTTTTTCTGGAACCTTGGAGACTTGTTTTTATTAAAATGTGCTAGTTATCTGTGGCACTTGATGTAAAGTCTCTTGTTGCCTGCTTCCGATGCCATCTTTATAATGACTTCCTATGCAATTACATTGTGATTCCCGTCCTACTTATGTGCAACGTAAGAATATGTTTATTCAGAAAGAACTTTCTTTTCATTTGCATTATGTCCAGATGTCATTATCAGATACTGCAATATTGAAGATAAATTTACTGTTGCAACTATTTCAATAACTTGAGCAATCTAGATCATTACTGTTGGGATAAACTTCATTATTTTGCCTGTGTTTGTTTACTGCTAGGTATATGCAACAGGATCTTAATTTGGATTGAAAATAAAAGGGCTGGATGCCACCTTTTCCCCAGTACCTAGTTTAAAATTAGTGATGAAATGTTTGCACTCGACAAGGGAAGAAAACACTCCTGCAGTTGTAATTAGCATTTCTGATTTGTAGCAGAATCATTGCAGGGATCAAGCTGCCATGTTGGCTCTGGTCATTTATCACTTAAGTAAACCCTATGGACTCTTCTATCACAAAATTAAATTAAGCTTATGTGCTGAGCTCTCATATTTGCCATAATAAATGAATTTTGGACCAATTGCAGTTTTGTTCAACTCCACGCTGAGATGCTGACATTTCAAGCCAGCAGCCAATATTCTCTCCAATTTTTTTTAATGGTACTTCGTTACAGCTTTGCAGGGTGTTGACAATCCAACAGCGTTCATGTAGCTCAACATGTTTAAATTGTAGCGTTGTTGTGTGACTATTGCTTCTACAAAATGCCAAATGCTTCATAATTGGCTAGTGATATTGTGGTTGTGAGTGGTTCACTTAATCATAGAATAATAGGGATCTGACAGTGATTACAAGGCGATGATTTCATTGGGTGGATTCAGATCATACATATACTGCCATCAAACAATTGTTTGACATAGATTTTTAAATTACAGACTCAAAATTACTGACATGCTCATTATTTTTATGTATTTGCTTTGGCAGTAATGCTTTCGTTCTAGTTCATCTATTGTGCTGTACCAATGATACTGCAAATGGGGGACGTTGGGCAGGTGTTTTGTGTGGTTAATATATGGTATAGTCCATGCTAGAGAGTTAATGACTGTGTGATATAATCACTGAAACTAACCAAATGTCCTAAAATTGATTGCTGAGAACTAGCACAATGGCACATTTCCAGATGCCATTTATTCCTTTTTGAGGTAAAATTGGGAAATGGTGAGAGATTTATAAATCATCCTTAAAAAACGTTTAATTCTTTAAGTGTGAGAAACCTGCTAAAAGGTGACTGACTGTGCTATTTGAATGATTCCAACTAATTTCTGTTAGGGTGCCTTGACATATTGATTGATGTAAACTCAATTGCTATTTTATCAAATTATACACCTATCCAGTAAGTGGAACACCGTTATATTCCAACACTGGTTTGAAGAATTGACACCATGCTGAACTACATTTTTGTCACTCTGTTTACATTTGAATCAGGTATTGGACACCAAAGCTGGGAATTATAATATCTAATCACAATCAATTACCTTCAATGGCTTTCTCATCCCACTCTCTCACTTGACATCTGATGTCCCCAGGGATCCATTTTGGATCTCCTTCTGTTTCTCATCTACATGCTTCCAATCATTGGCTTTACCTGAAAATATTGTGTTCTTTGCAGTGATTCCTGAATATCAATCTCTTAATGGACCCTGGTTGACTTCTTTACTTCCCTCCCCCAAGCTATAGAAATGTAAGTAAATTTCTAGCCATTGCGTATGTTTTTGGCTGAGACAGACAACAGCTGAAAGCATTTGATGCTATGTTTGCTATAATTGTCTTCCTCGTGGTAATCTTTTCCATCTTGGAATAGTCTGCAGATAGTGTGTGCTTTGCTGCTGGGCAATATGATATTGAATGTAACACGGTGCTTCACAATTTTTTTTCCCCCATTGTGAAATTGTCACGATACCTAATTGGAGGAGGAGAGGGCTACCTGTGACAGTGAGAAATTACTCCTCGTCTGTCTTAATGATTCTAGGCTCGATCTACTCAACCTCTCCTCATAAGACAGTCCCTTCATAACTGGTAACAGCTTAGTGAACCTTCTGTGGACTGCCTGCAATGCCAGTATATGTTTCCTTAGATAAGGGCTCACACCTGTTTGTAGTACTACAGCTGTGGTCTGACCAGTGCCTTGTATAGTTTTAACAAAACTTCCCTATTTTTATACTCCATTCACTTTGAAATAAAGACAAATGCTCCATTTCCCTTCCCTATTACCTGCTGAAC